AAGGGGGGAGCAGGATTTGTGCCGGTGGGGCAGGGTTTGGCCCCCGCTGCCTTACCCGGTATTTATTCTCGCCGATCTGCTCCACTTGAAACCTCTTGGCACACTTGCACTGGGCCACTTGCCGGGTGACCTGTCACCAGAGAATGGTTTGGGTTGGAAGGGAGCTTAAAGATCATCTTGTTCCAATCCCGCGCCAACGAGAGAGGTCAGGGACCGGGATTTGGGACTCTCCCCCTGTACGAGGCACAGCTCGGATAACACCCAGCCCCTTCACAACCACAGTGGGTACCAGTGGTACCAGCCAATTCTTTTGGCTCAGCTCCACCACGATCCATTTTTTCCTCTTTTTTGTCGACCCCACAGCCAACTGACCCATCCCACCCCTCCAACACCCATCGCTTTCGGTGCTTCACCTCATCCTCGATCTTGTCGGCATCGGTGGTGGGGCGGTAGGCATCCTTGTTGGGATGGAGAGCGGCCACAAACTCGTAATAATCGATGTAGCCGTCGCCGTCACGGTCAAAGATGTCGGCCACCGCCGTCATCTCCAGCTTGGTGGTGGGGAATTCTGGAAGGAGAGAGAAATGAGTAACCAAGGCAGGGATGGGGATGTTGGACCATGGTCTGCATCCCGCTCCTCCAGCAGGGACAACCCCTTGTCACACCATGGTGGCCATTTTCCGACCTCGTTCCAGGGAGGCAGAGACTTACTGGAGGCCAGGATGCCATCGATGAACTCCTGGCGGGTGATCTTCCCATCTTGGTCTTTGTCGATGCGTCGGAAGAAGTCCATGACGCGGGATTTCTTGTGGTTCATCCAGCGCATGTATTTCTTCCGCCACACGTCGAAGTCAAAATTTGCAAATTCCTTCAACTGGAAGGAAACCCGGGAGAGTCAGGGCGGGAAATAATCCCCGAAGGAGCAGCACCCCCGGCTCTACCGCACCCTCAAACACCTCCAGCCTTCGGGTGAGCCTGTGCCGGAGCTCCCGGCACTAATCCCACTGCCCACCCTCCCGGGAAGGTCCATCTGGGTTTATCCAGACGCCCCGTTAGCGAGGGAATGCTCCAACGGACGTTCCAGACCAGGACACACAGCGCAGCCGACAGCCACCGCCTGGACCGCGCACCAAGGACCCATCGCCCGGGATGCAGCATCCTCGGCGGTGGAACACGGACACGTACGCAGAGAGATCAGCTACTTGCACACAGACACACACCCCCAGGTCTGCTCGGGCACTCGGGGACCCTTCCTCGCCCGGGATGTCACCTAACGACCCGCCAGGCTCTGCCACCCGTTCCTGACACCATTTTGGCCATTTTTTTCCCTAAACAGCTGAGAAAGGATTTCTTGCTCATCTTGCAGGGGCACACCGCCGCTCTGCCACCAGCCACTTTAACACCCTCCTGATCCCCCCCCAAAAGGACCCCCGTGACCCCACCAGCTAAAGCAGCTCGCAGCAAGGGAATGCAACAATTTTTAGGGCTTTTTTTTTTTTTTTTTCTCTAAAGGTTTTTGGAGTTAAAGCAACAAAAAACATGAATACGGATAAACTGAACTGATCTACAGCAAAAGCAACAGAAAACAAAAACACTCACTTCTGGGCATAGCTGCTTTGTTAAGCATAAATAAAAACAAAAATGACATTAGATGGTTGGAAAAGATACAGACAGTAATTGTTAAACTAATTAGTAGGAGAAAAGCCAGCCTGGCTGTCGTTACCTCTGCAGATACCGACTGCAGGGGCACCGAGCTGTTCGTTAATGAGCAGTTAATTACAGAAGGTAGTTTTCAGCTTTAATATTTTACGAGGTTGGTTT